TGGGAAACATTAAAATTCTATGTTTAAACATTTTTGGGAAAATTTAAAATTCTTTTTTAAATCCAACATTTTTTAAATAAAATATTTTTTAGATTCAAAATTTTTAAAATAAAAACACGCAACCAAAAAACGGGAATAAATATTTAGAAAAAATAAAAACAATTAAAATGTGTAAGTTTAGCGAACAGTGCTATAAAGTATTAAAGATGGTGGCTCTCTGTACGAGCTGTAGTTCAAAAAAGGTAGAACACGAAGTACGCAAAGGCAAAAAAATATAAATTCAAAAACAATTTGGTTTTAATTTTTTACTATATGCTTAGGATTAAATTTTGTAATGCCTTATTTGGAATTAAAAATTAATTATTAATCCGGTTTGTGAGATTGGCTTAAAAATTTAAAATTACTTTTAATTAAGTTTTTAGGGATTATAAAATAAAAAAAAAAATTTAAACATTATTTACTACCCTGTATGAACTCCAAATTATCACACACAAACCTACCGCAACAAAGTTTCACTGTTGCTTGTGCTGCTCTTTTGAAAAAATTCCTGAAAGATACGCCGCACAACTCTAGCCAATACGGCTGCATACTGTTTGAAGCTTTCGTGTTTCATGGTGATTTTCTTCTCTTGCAGCGCTTGCGACACTGCCCACAAAAGTTTCTACAATCAATCATAATTGAAATAAAATTTGTTTTTAGCATATAAATAATTTCACGGTGTACCTTCCGTTGATTCTCCGTTAAATTGTTTGTTTGTGCAACTATTTCCGAGTGCGCACGTTGTATTTTAGCAGCGCTATTCATGGCCGTTGAACCAGACGATAAAGCGCTTGTGCTGCCAAACAAAGTGATACTACTGCCGAGACCTGTGCTTCTACTAGCCATTAAATTGCACGGTTCAACACCAGCAATGCAAGTTAAACCTGAAATCGCAGTGGCTGTAGGCAGTGTTGACGACGAACCCGCCCCAATACAAAAACTTTGACTTTTAATTTTTAAGGCACGTGGTGTAAAATTCTCAGCACCGCCTCGAAACAGTTTGCTGCTTTGTGATGGTAAATCAGCGGAGTCGTCGTCGTCAATAGCTGCACGTTTGCGTTTAAAGATCGAATCAAATTGTTGCGCATTTAATCGACTTTGCTGTGCGGCATTCAACTTTAGCGTATTTGCATATGTGTTTTCTGTTTCTTTGTCGGGTGAGAAAAGTGCACGTTTTGATTTCTCAACACGATTTGCTATTTCGGGCTTAATGCTGGGCATCAGCCTTTGGACGGACTGTTTCTGTTCCATTTGCTTAGCTGGGCTTTGAAACAGTGCGCGTTTCGAAGATTCTCGCGACGGGCCGGGTTTACTGAGATCACAACGGAAAAGTCGTTTACGTGCCGATGATGATGGCGTTTTGCGATCTAAACGAAAAATAGACACCGAAAGTTATAATATTATATTACAATATTAGTGTATATTATTAAAACATTAGATAATTACTTTTCTTTTTGCTGCCTGGAGTCATACGTTTTGGAGTATTTTTACGGCGATTTTTATTCTTCCTGCAGAGAGATTAATTAATGATGGATTTACATTGATATAAAGATTGCTGTACATACTTTTGAACATCCACCAATATTTGTGGACCACGCAAACTATTTGATTTCTGAGTGGCCAACTGCGCTGAAGAAAAAGTGGCACGACGTCTGGCCAAATGGCTTAAACGATTTCCAGGGGATTGTGTCAGTAATCTGAAAAATAATAACGAAAATCAGAATTTATACTGTAAAAGATTCAACTATTTTTCATTATTTCACTCACTTCATACGTGCATTACGCTTTTTCGCGCTAGATGGTGAATTACGATATGAAGACGCTGTTTCGGCACCAATGAAACGTTCAATTACCGACAAGCCCAAATATTCGTTATTTTCAGACGCCTTGCATAGGTTAAAACTGAAACAAAAAACATAACAAATAAATTTTCATTTAAAATCTTATGCCAAGCGCATTACTTTACCTAAGACCATGTTGTCTAACACCAAGCACCTGTCGCCAACCCATTTCCTTTGTCTCATCAATCGGATGTGTGGGCTTGAAGAGGCTGGCACAAGTGTTTGAAATACTACCAGCACCTAAACTACTTGTGGAGTTGATATCGACCGTAAAATCGAATATATCCTGTTTTCGACTTATCACAGCGCTGAAAATGTCCAATTGTGGTATAGTTACCGATGGAGGTGGTGGTATACCGGCCAAACATTTTCGTATACGCCGTAAGAGTTCCTTTTCTCGACGACAGTTCTCGCGATATAAACTGTAATTATCTGCACGCGGCTGATCTGTTTGTTGTGAATCCAATTCACATGTTTGCTCTTCAGCGAAACTGGACTCAGTTGGGCAGTTTACTGATTTATTTACACTTGTGTCCATAGATGCCTCAACGGTATTTTGATCATTATTTGCGTTGTCAATAGCAATGGCGACTGGTGAACCGATTTTCACCTGATTTGAATTTTCTGCAATCTCCGTTGCTTCTTCCTCAACAGCGGTCCCAACATATTCAATTAATTCTTCAGCTTTGTAGCGATCTTCAAAATTGCATGTGTCCACGTCTTCTTCATTTTCATCGTCATCGACAAATAAGTCTGGTGATTTTTCATTACTATATTTTTTAAGAATAAAAGATTGATTAAGTTGACTTTGAATTTCAATAGTAGATTCTCCCTCTTTTTCATCAGCTGTTGGTGGAGTCAGACTTTTTATTTTTCCATTGAACGATAGT